CACGCTACCCTGGGGGTCTTCAAGAGGAGGTTAGATGAGTATCTAGCTGGGGTCATCTAGACCCAGCACTCTTTCCTGCTTATGCAGGGTGTCGGACTCGATGATCTATTGAGGTCCCTTCCGACCCTAACATCTATGAATCTATGAATCGTTTAAACAAACACACACTTTGTTTCCAAAAAAACAGCTGCTGGAAATTGAAGTGGATATTATATGCAAGGAAATATGATGAGAACAGTTTCTGCTGCTTACCAGGTAAAAGTGAAAGTAAAGTCTGCGTGCCCTCCACAGGGAGCAGAACATTGAGGAGTTTTGGCTCCCTAGCTGCTGCTGCTCAGTTACTTACTACAAGGAGAGCGCATCTCCACGAGACATTTACTGCAGTTGACTAATTAGCTGAGCAGGAAATATCTCACATCTACACATGCACAGCTGTTAGTCTGGAGTAAACTAATCTACTCTGCAGCAGGATAGTACTTGTAAATACAAGTACTGTCCTGCTGTTGAGTAAAAAATTCTGCAGCAGTGCACATGCAGGCGCTGCCCAGCCTGGCTGAGACACAAGGGTGCTCCAGCTAGCCCCTCCGCAGCACATTGAGGCAGGGAGAGCAGCCCCAGCTAGCAGGCTGACTCCCTGGGCCCCCTGCCAGCTGGGGCTGCTCTGCCCCAGTTCAACATGCTGTGATCCCAGGTGCACATGCAGACACTTGCTCAGCAGCAATAAGCTCCAGGCCAGTAAGTGCCAGGGTTTATTGCTGTGCATTAATAGGCACGCATAAACACGCCCACGAAGATCTTTCTTTCTTCCTTCTGCCTTTCAAGATCAAGGTATGTATCTTGTTTTGGAGCATGTTGTACGCAAAAAATATGGTATGTTTAATAAATCACTCTTCAGGTCCAGCTGAGACTGATTCTCAGGTCCATGACAGTAGCTGATAAGCTGTCTCCCTGTCAGAATATCCCATTAACTTGATGAAAGTGAAAACTGCTCCTACTGAAAAGACTAACTCTGAGAATTTGTTTCCCAAGAGTCCATACAGAATATTCCCAAGAGGTGGATACTTGTTCATTTTGCTTTTGGAGAACAGGTTTTTTTCCAGTGGTATAACACTGAGCGCTATCCTGCTTCAAAGAAGTAAATGGATTCAACTAGTCATTTCTCTTTGAGAGCGAACATGACTGTATATGCCACTATTCATTCTGGATGGCATTTACACACACTGTCTAGCTGGACAAAACCTACATAATCTTCAAGAAACAAGAGGGAGCTGAAAGAATGAACTCTACCTCACGCCTAGGTGACTTCAGTTCACATCAGCTTATCTAAACCAGAGAGCAGTGTCTAGGCACCTAATATATAAGGGTTTATGAGTTTGGAATAGTCTAGGTTTCATAGGCAAAGAGTAGCATGGCCAGAATCACATCTAGCCACATTGACTCCCAGACCTGCCCGGTCAGATACTTGTTCATGGCTGGATCCACCAGAGGCAGCCTTCAGTATGAGCCCTTGGGACAAGAGGGTACAGTGGAATTCATGCATATTGACCACTCTGGTACCAGACCTGGCATATCACAGTGTGCGTGTGCTGCTAAAATATTACAGAAGGAGGGATAGCTTTTGGTTAAGTTGATATAATAATTTAAGTATTTACTGATATAATTCTGTTTCTAACTGAACATTCTCCACATATGGCAGAGAGTTTTCTGCCAAATGAATAAGGGAGTATATTTTTCCTTGCATTATAGAGGAAAATGTCTGTCTTAAAGCTGTTGCTTTGCATTCTGCATCAGATATATTATGTTTATTATTTACTTATCTGTACAATGGTTATTTACTTATATGCCCCAGTGAGGGCCCTGTTGTGTTCATTCCTATACAAATATATAGGAAGTAAGATTTCATAGAAAGCTTGTGGTAAAGATGGGAACTGAGCAATGAGACAATAAGATGAATATCATTTATGTCCTGTGTGGCTTTTAGATACAGTATCAGATCTTTGTAAGCCTAGCACTTGCCTTACTGGACTCGTTACAATATAATATACGTATTAACAATTCTATTTGTAAAGTCCACTTGAAAAGACTTTGGCCATGTTATTTTACTAGGGTTGTTTTTTTGGGTTTTTTTGTTGTTTTTTTTTTACACACTTGCATTTTTTTCCTACAAAGCACATTGATATTCATTGAAAATTATTAATACTTGATTGTAAATCAAATTTACAAATGATTTAAATCGCGATGATTTAATCTGTTTTTTTATCATGTATAAAGGTCTTTAAAAAAATCAGAGATTTTGTCCACTTCACACGTGTGATAATTTAATAGATTCCTAGGGTCCACTCTTCAAGGAGACATTTGTAAAATTTAAGTTTTGCAGTGCAACAAAGGGGTAAAGAACATGTTTGGTTTTAAAGATAAACTTGGATTTTGAAATTAAGCACAGCAGGTAGGGAGGTCCTACACAGTTCGTATTTGGGCACTGAAGCATATGCATTATAAGCACCAGCTTAAAGTAATGGCTGGCAGTATGAAATAAATTTTGATCACATACAAGTTATCTAGCTAACACCCCACCTGCTTCTTTGGAAATGATCCTTTTTGAGTCTGAAAATGTATAAAAATCCAGTAGAAATTGGATATTTATTAATGTGAGCTACAGCAAAGCCTTACAATAAAAGAATCAAGGCTTGTTTCTGCAGAGCCAATTATTTTCTAATACACACACATCCCAGTTTCTGTTTGTTGTTTTGCAATGAATCTTTCTCTTCCCACGTTGGATTCCCCTTGTAGTGGCCAAATAGAAGGGGTTCACACTGCACTATCCTGTGTGCCTTGGTCATAAACCCTGGAGTATATTTATACATCCCCTAAAATACTTAAGGATTTGGGGCATATTTCCTTTCTTATCCAAATAGAGGAATCATAGTTTTTTGGAACCAGAAATCTGTGCACTAGGCTTCAGGGATTTAGCCTGGATATGTAGAGCCACGAATACAACTATAGATTTGGCCATTTTGGTGGTGATACTGATGTATAAGTAATATAACTGATGGAAAATGTTGTTGTTCCATACAGTCTGAAAAGGTCTTAGAGGCACTTTTAGATATTACATTGAATCATGAGGCATTCTGCATTAAAAGATCTTTCAGCACTTAAGTCTCTTCTTACAGACCCTATTTCCCAGGTGTGTTTCATAACTTGAATCAAGGTCTACAGCCTCCGTACATTTGTGGATCTCATGTTAGAGATGCCTAGATAAATCCCAGTACAAGAGTATTTTATCTGTGTAATACTGAGTGTAACGTTCAGTAGAACAGATTAACAATTTCATTGTTTTAGCTTTTCAAATTAGTATTAGACTGAATGAAACCTTTTATTTTAACTAATTCTTTAACAGTTACTTAAGATAGTTTTCTCATGGCTAAAGTATATGCAGTATGGATTTTTTTCACTTAGAAATTAATTCTTTTATAAAGGTGGTTCATAAAACATACCCTTTTATTGCATTTGCCTTAATGAAGTATATGCTGATCCAGAATCTTGTGAAACAATTTGATCCAGAAATGAACCTCTTTTGTAAAATCATTCAACAGTAAAATGCACAGCAATTATTAAATCTTATATCCATAATTTGTATTATTTTTTGTTGACACAGCTGCAAGTTTTTAAGGATACGCAGTTACCATTATAAGGGACTGTATTATCGTGTCAGACAGCATATTGGATGTGCAGTATTTTGTGGAACAAAAGCATTCATTTTTGGAAAGAAAGCTCAGTGTAGCACAATATTTGGCCTGATACTTTGGCAAAAGCCAGCTTGGACTTTAGAAGATTTTACAAGTTAAAATAATACATTATTTCTTTCAACAAAGCGAAAGAAATTAAGACTTTCAGAAGCTTAAAATATTAATAATTGATTGTACTTTCATGTGTTTTTAGTGAGCCTGGGAAGGATACATTTATAATATTTTTTCTGCGCCATATTCTTACAGTGTACAGTGAAAACAGAATATGGAAAAAGTTTCCTAATTATTATCTGAAACACAAATCATGAAATAAGGACCAGATTCTACAACCCTAATTGATGATGAATAGTATGAACAGTCCTATGCCTGTGTCCTGTGGAGTTAATAAATCTGACATGTAATTAAAGACTGGATTGTAATATGTGGGTATGCAAAAGTCAAATTATTGCACACTACCTCATTCTGGTATGTTTTAGTTCCTGATGTTGCAACCTAATATTCTATATAGGTTTTTTATGTGATATATATTTGAGTTAAGTATTCTTTTACCCCCTCCCCTCACACTGTTCAGATCCTTATTATACTTTATTGTTACTGTTTTTGTACTATGAACATTTCTTTAATGATGCCAGAAAGCACACAGTACTGAAGAAACATGGCCCCTTTTAATTGCATTCATTTAATAAAACTGAGCACTCATTTTAATAACACAGATTTAGAAGCCTGCACCAGCCATTTTTTGCTTGTGTTCAGATTTTATTGGACACAAATATATTCTATAATATATTTTGAAACCTTGAATTTTTATTTAAATAACTTTTATTTTAAAAGAGATAAGGGGAAACACACTGGAGGGAGAGGGGGAGATAAAATATTTGGATAATGTTAATCAGGAGTCATTGAAAAGCTAAACTCCATAAGGCTCTTAAATAGGAAAGCACAACAGAAGAGCAAATGCCACACATGCATTTCATTATGGGCTAACCCATTTGCTATTTTTCTTTACAGGAAGGCCTGGTTGAGTAAAGTCGGAAGTCCCAGTTCTCGGATAGCACGAACAAACTTTTCTAATGAGAAGGAGATCACCAAGCTTGATTTTTCAGGATTTAACACCAGATACTAATGGAGAGAAAAATATTTAAGCAACAAATAATGCTTCAGCTGCATAATACTTTCTGTGGATCCATACAACTATATGACATCTCTAGTGTACAACAGAAATAAAGAAGTGCTAAGTATAAGAATTCCCTATTTATATAATGCGGGAATATTCATTTGCTGTGTTAGAAATTTCACAAAGTCAATCTTTACTAAAATGCCAATTAAAAATAATCTATTTCGCTTACTTTGAGTGTTCTGTACAGAATAATTTAAAATCACTAGTACATACTAGTGCAAACTGAAATATGTAATACTTGACTGTATAGAATCTAATCTTTACCAAGTAAATATACTTATTTTATGCACAAAATAATGTAGCTATCTGTGATCTATTAAAAATGTTTAAATACTTCTATTTTTTTAACCAAGATCTCAGAATCATTTACTAATGTACTCTAAAAGCTATGAATTGTAAAGCTCTCTTATATTTGTAGCAATTAGTTAAAGCCGTAGCAAGCGCTCTGAAATAAATGTACATTGCCTCATAGAATAAATGCATCTAGTCACCTCTGATTAAAAGTTTTCTGTAATGAGGTCTGGTTAGCTTAGGTTATATGATAATGAGATGCATAGGCTTTCATTCCTGGGTCTCCAACTTCAGCCAAGGACAACACTACCTAAATGTTAATTTCATTTAATGTTTTTTTGGTGACATATATGAAGGAGTTGATTGCTGTAAGTGGGCAGGCAGTTGCATCATAAAAGTCACTGTTATGATTATCACTTAAGATCTGATTCTACAAAGACTTAATTAGTTATGTCATGTTAAGCACATGAACTTAATACTCATTCTTAAAGTTCAGCACTTGGCTAAGTCTGCATAATTGGGGTCTAATTCTTATCTTATGTTCTTGGCAAACAGACCAAAAATAGTCAACACAGACTGCGTCTACATGAGATGCTGACTGCGCAGTAGTTCATTACTACTGCGCAGTAGTGTCACATGGCATGAAGCGTGACACAACGGTACTGTTCAGTATTAATGAGCTACAGCGCAGTCAGTGTCACCTAAAAGCCATTTGGCAATGCTACTGCGCAGTAACTCCAGTCATTTAGTACTTGCACATACTAAGTAGTAAGTACTTGTGTACTTAGTATGCACAAGTACTAAATGATTGCACAGTAACAACAATGCAATCAGCATCGCCTGTAGACGCAGCCACTGATTCTGAACAATCTCCTCGGTGCTAGAGGGGTTCCTTCCAAATCAAGATGCAGGAAGATCCGCAGGGTTTGTGATGAAGCTTCATTGCAACTTCTACTGGCTGCTCCAAGCACATTCAGGAGACAGATGGAGTCAGTTTGAAGGAGTTTTGTTTTAGCTAAGGACATTACGTAACAGCACACTTAAGATTGTCTGTCATGTTCAGGACAAGATGTACATAGAAAGTTGTATTCCTG